CATGCAGGTAAATCGCTTTATCTCACTATATCTCATTCATTATCACTTCTAACTTATCTCATTTGTATTCTTTGATTTGTGTGACCTAACCTCAATAATAATGTGACCACTCAATCAATGATCGAAATAAGTTTGTATTGTTTTTATGTGTTGTTCATGAAGATTGACCTAATGAAAGAAAATCAATTGTAGCAAACTGCCTCTTGTTAACAGTCACGCCCCGCTTTTAATGGGCCAAGCCTAAAAATTATTTAACCAGACTTCAATCACTGTTTAATGGGCCAAGCCTAAAAATTATCTAACCAGACTTCAATCACTGTTTATCACGGTTTATGTAGGATTCCTGTTTTGACATTGATTTACGATTTAGCTTTTTCTTACTTTATTCACAGAACGGTGGCCATAGAAGTCGGAATCCGCTAAGGAGTGTGTAACAACCTGCCGAAGCAACTAGCCCTGAAAATGAATGGCGCTGAAGCGTTGCGCCTATATTATACGCCGTCAGTGGCAAGTAGGGAGGTAGCGCATCTCACTCTCGGGTGTGACCGGCCTTCATGAAGCCCTGACGAGTACAAGGATCGCGGCGATGTGCGCAGAAGGGTTTGGGCGTGAGCCTGCCTGGATCCGCTGTCGATGCAGATCTTGATGGTAGTAGCAAGTACTCCAGCGAGGCCCTGGAAGATTGACATGGAGAAGGTAAAGAATTTATGGTGTTCTAAATCTAAAGAGCTATTTTAAGCTTAATGTGATAGCGCTTCAGGTGTCGACGATATAACTCCAAGTACAGAAATAAAACTACTACAGAATCTCTTTTAGAAAAAACAAAGATAATAGTTTATTATGTACACTGGTTGTAATAATTAATATTTGGATTGGACAATGAATATCATTTTACCTAATACCAATAGGAAAATTTCAGTCAGTTTTAATTAGATTTTTCTTTTCGACTTTGTTTACATTTCTGTTTACATAGATAGGACTCTTTGAAAAACTTGGCAAATAAAATAAGGTAATTGAGGTACATCAACGTAGAAAGTTTGAGATTTAAAGTTGTAACATTGCATTGAATTTGAGCAATTTGTACATAGTAATATGTTGAAATAATTATAAATATACCCCAAAGGACAATAAAACAGGACAGTAAATCGAATTTCAATCTTCAAATCTATTGTAGATTCAATCACGAAAAATAAT